GTGGGGATTATGGGAGTTATAATTCAAGGTGAGATTTGGGGGGGACATGGCAGAACCGTATCATTCAGAGCAATCAGACACCACACGGGGAAAGTGGACTCCCACCTCACACCAGTCGTGAAAATCAGTTTGCGGTGGCTCACAGACTTCAACGTACAGGCTGGAAAAGCTTCCAGAAGATGTAGAATACCTCTGTGACCCGCCCAGGATAGAAGCGGAACCGCTCAGGACACGGAATTAATAACCATAAAAAAACTGGAAAATCACACTTCATCAAAATTTTAAATGGTTCATCCAAAGAGGCCATTAAGAAAATGAGAAGGAAAGCCTAGACTGAGGACAATATCAGCAATAAATGTATCCACAAAAGACTTGTGTTCAGAATAAAGAACTCCTTCGATACAATAGTAAAAGACAAAAACCTACTACAAAATGGATAAAGAACTTAAAAGGATACTCCACAAAGAAAGATACACAAACCAGCCCAGCAAGCTCATGAACAGGTGTTCTACTCATCAGTCATTGGAGAGATGCAAATTAGAATCACAGTGAGATACCACTGCAGACCATTAGAATGGGCAAAATTTAAAATACTGCCATTACCAAGGGTCGGTGGGGATGTGGGCCACTCGAACTCTCAGACATTGCTGGTGGGAGTGTAAAATGATACAACTGTGCCATGACCAGGCACTTACACTGCTGGGCATTCGCCCAAGGAGAAGGAAGCGTGTCCACAAAGGATTTGAAGAAAGTTGGGCCGGGTATGGAGGCTCACACCTGTAATCCCAGCATTTTGGGAAGCTGAGGAGGGGGGATCACTTGAGGTCGGAGTTCGAGACCAGCCTGGCCAACATGGTGAAACCCCATCTCTACTACAGATACAAAAATTAGCTGGGCGTGGTGGCAGGTGCCTGTAACCCCAGCTACTGGGAGGCCAGAGGCAGGAGAATTACCTGAAGCCAGGAGGTGGAGGTTGCAGTGAGCCAAGAATGTGCCACTGCACTCCAGCCCGGGCTACAGAGAAGGATCCTGTCTCAAAACAGACAAACAAAGAGTTGGTGATAACAGCTTTGCTTGTAATAACCAAGACCAGAAAACCAACCATCCATCAACAGGAAGGGGGAGAAGCAAAGTGTGGTGAGTGTACCCGGCAGGCGCCACTGCTGGAGTCAGGAGCACAGACAAATCTCAGGCATGCTATGTCGCGTGATCAATGCCAGACACCAACAGGCGCACAGTGGAAAACCTGAAGCGGCGAGGCAGGCAAAGTAAAGCCGCGATGCAGCGTTCTCCAGGGGCGCAACGCCGCCCGGGAGGAACACGGAGGGCTGCAGGGAACCTGGAGGAACACAGAGGCTGCAGGAACCCGGAGGAACACGGAGGCTGCGGGGGGCGATGCTTTCCGGACCTCAGCGGTATTGTCGCAGAAAAGATCAACTGCAAGACACATTTGAGAAAAATCTTCCAGAAAGTGGAACAAAAGGACAGAGATGAAGAATAGGGGAGAGAAAAGACTAAAAATTAGAAGATCCATCTAAGATGCCCCAAATCTGACCATCAGAAGCTCCAGGAAGGCTGAGCGTGGTGGCTCATGCCTGTGATCCCAGCGCTTTGGGAGGCTGAGGCAGGAGGACCCTTTGAGCCCAGGAGTTTGAGGTGCCTGGCAACATGGTGAAACCCTCTCTCTCCAAAAAAAAAAAAAAAAAGAAAAGAAAGAAAAGAAAACAACTTAGCCAGGTATGGTGGCCTGCACCTATGGTCACAACAACTCAGGAGGCTGAGGTGGGAGGACTGCCTGAGCCCAGGAACTTCCAGCTGCAGTGAGCTCTGACTGCACATGCACTCCAGCCTGGGTGACAGAGATCCTGTCTCAACAAAAAAGCCTGGGCGCAAGTGACTCACACCTGTAATCCCAGCACTTTGGGAGGCCAGGTGGGCAGATCGCAGATCAGGAGATGAGACCATTCTGGCTAGCATGGGAAACCCGTCTCTGCTAAAATTATAAAAAAAAACAAAAAAATTAGCCAGGTGAGTGGTAGGCACCTGTAATCCCAGCTACTTGGGAGGCTGAAGCAGGAGAATGGGGTGAACCCGGGAGGCGGAGCTTGCAGTGAGCAAAGAGAGGCGCCACTGCACTCCAGCCTGGGCAGCAGGCGAGACTCCGTCTCAAAAAAAAAAAAAAAAAAAAAGCTCAGAAGAGATCACAGAAAGGGGAGGTAAACATTTTCATTTAGAAAAATTATAAATTTCCCAGAGGACAAACCTGCTTGAGTTTCAAATTTAGAAAGGGTCACTGAATCACTGTCCAGTGGATGCAGGTAAACATTTTCATTTAGAAAAATTATAAATTTCCCAGAGTTGAAGCCTGTGAGTTTCCAAATTTGAAAGGGTCCACTGGGAATCCACTGTCAGTGGATGCAAAAAGAGCCACATGAAGGCCCGTCATCATGCACTTTCAGAATACCAAGAATGCAGAGTCCCAGGCCAGGCACAGTGGCTCACGCCTGTAATCCCAGCACTCTGGGAGGCTGAGTGGGGAGGACGGCTTGAAGCTGAGAGTTGAGGCTACAGTGAGCTTATGATTGCCACTGCACTCCAGCCTGGGCAACACAGCGAGACTCTGTTTTGTTTTTACAAAAGAGAAAATCTCCTACAAGGTTCCAGAAGAAAAAACAGGCCTTGTGAATAAAAATAGCACTAAATTTCTCAACAACAATACAAAAAACTAAAAAGACAATGGAACCATGCCTTAAAATTCTCAGGGAAAATTATTTCCATCTAGAATTCTATACCCAGCCAAACTATCACACAAGTGTGGGAACAGAATGAGGACATTTGCTGATATGCATGCTCTTAAAACGTTTACTTCCCCATGCATCTTCTCCTAGGGAAATTTCTAGAGCATATATCCACCAAAATAAGGAATAAACCAATGAAGAAGAAGACATGAAATTACAGGAAATGGAACTGAACACAGGAGATAAACGAAGGTAGTTTCCAGTATGGTGGTTAAAGAAAATTCCAGGGCAACTCCTCAGCAGCACGCTAGAAAGCAACCAGTGGAGATAGGAGGAAGTTAGAGGGCTTTAGGGAGGACGACTCCTGAAAACTGAACAGAGACGAGCGGTGTGTCCGAACATACCGAGAGGAGGTTAACGCCTGCCTCAGTGTCCTTGGGTAAACTAAGGATGTCCAGAAAACTGAACAAATATGATAATTATTAAGTCCAAGGAAGGAACTTCAATCATAGGATAGGACAGGATGTGACTTAGCTCTGAGGGACACCCACACTGTCCTAACGACATAGACAGTGAGTGCTGGCTAACTAGTGATGGAACCACACTGGGATTTTGAGTGGAAAGGAGGGAGACAGACGCATAGATGAGTGACTGATTGATAGTTGGAGATGGACAGACTCTGACTGCAGGTGTGGAAGGTGGTTAAGAAGTCAACAATCTAAAACCAAAAACAAAACAAAACAAAAACTTAGTAGAATAGGAATACACAATTTAGAGATACAGACAAGCAGACAGCCCAAAACATGGGAAGTGGTTATTCCTGGGATAACTCTGGACGTGGTGCTGGAGGGAGGGCAAGGGCCTGCAGTTATGTGCCTTACAGAAACGTATGGCTTCTAAGTATTATCTTGATCAAAGCTACGTTCTCATTAAAAATGCGCTGATCTGGCCTGCAAGTCAGGTCCAGGTGTGGGCTCAACTGCTCCAAGTCCCTGCACTGTCCCAGACCCACAGAAGGAGACCTGGGTCCTGTCCCCAGCCTGACAACCTCAGGTAGAGCCATTGAACTGCTCTAGGCCAACTTCTGCAGCGTTTAAGAGAAAGTATGGCACAAGAGGAGGTGGAAAGTCCCTTAGACAGCAGGATGCAGTGGGCACTTCACCACCTGGACCAGCCCCAGGGGTGGACAGGGCCCTGCCCTGGGGTTAGCAGAAGCATCCTCGAGGCCCTGGGGCTACCTCCAAGCTCCTCCCTGGGTAGCAGTGCTGGCACTCCATGGGAGATAGGAGGGGCTGCTGGAGAGGCCCTACCCCAGCAGGGCAGCCCCGGCCTGGACCCCTGCCCAGGCACCCCTCGGTATCCTCCCTTCATTTGGGGGCAGCGGTAGGAGGCTCTGCCCTGCCTCTTATGCACACCTGGCTCAGCAGAGGGGCACGTGCCTGTCCCACCCTCCTCGGGGCTCCCGGGCTCCATCTCGGTGCCAAGTGTATCTATTCACGGTCAGGAGAAGGTGGTGTCTGATGACAAGGCAGGGGAGGAGTGACCTGGGATTGAAGTCCCTGAAAGACTCAGTTTGGGCAGAGAGCAGATCATTCTTTATCAAGTATTAGAGTGAAGGAAACTCACTAGACCCCGGAAAGACCGGCTGAGGAAAGAGCAGAGGTTTCAGAGGAGACGCAAAGGGCCAACAAGCAACCACTTCTTTTTCTGTTTGTTTGTTTTGTTTTTTGAGACATAGTCTTGCTCTGTCCCCAGGCTGGAGTGCAATGGTGCAATCTGGGCTCACTGCAACCTCCGCCTCCCACGTTCAAGCAATTCTCCTGCCTCAGCCTCCCGAGTAGCTGGGACTACAGGTGCACGCCACCACGCCTAGCTGATTTTTCTATTTTTAGTAGAGACTAGGTTTCGCCACGTTGGCCAGGATGGTCTTAATCTCTTGACCTCATGGTCTGCCCGCCTCAGCCTCCCAAAGTGCTGGGATTACAGGCGTGAGCCATCGTGCCTGGTCCAAGTAGCCATTTGTAAGCAAAGGCAGTCAAAACGAGATATGTCTTCTACTAAACTGGCCATAATAAAACCAGGGCCACTCTGGGTGTCAGTGGGCACACCATGTGCACTAGGTCTGGACAGGCGGCCTGAGGGTCTCCTTGTCTTCGGGTGACACCCCCCGCCCCAGCACCCAGCACCTCCCAGCACCCGAGGGGGTGACTGTCACCACAAACACAACCGTAAGGAGTGCGTGGGAAGCGGGGGGGCACTCACCTTGCTCCCCCTCCCCCAAGCACCAGGGCAATGGCGTTGCCTGTCAGCACCCTCGCCAAGCGGGAGAAGTCTGAGTGTCGGTCCGGGGGCCGCTGGAAGACACGCTTGTACATCTCCACCTGGGGGAGGAGCCGTCAGGCAGGGCTGGTGCGGGGCCCCACCCTTGGCCAAGACCTCACATCCTGGCTTGACTGGGGGGAGTTTCCTCCACTTCTAAGCCAAACTGACCCCAAATCCTCTCCAGCATGCAGCAGGCCCTGCCTGATAAGACTGATCAACACCTCAGTGCCCGGGCCGGGCCCCAGAGACAGCTCAGCTACTGGGGGGAGGACACTGGCAGAGGGTACGTGGGCAAGAGAGTGGGCCCGGGTGGGGGGCCAGAGGGCCTCCTCAGAGCTGTCTCCACTGGGGTCCCCCAATCCTGCAGCAGATGGTGCTTTCAAGGTGCAGGTTCCTGGACAGAGCTGTGGGCTGGGGGCTGTGAAGCATGAGCAGCCTCCAGACACCTCTCACCCTCAGGCCCCAGGGCTGCCTGAGGACACTGGAATTAAAAGTCTCACGGGCTGGGTGCAGTGGCTCAAGCCTGTAATCCCAGCACTTTGGGAGGCCGAGACGGGCGGATCACGAGGTCAGGAGATCAAGACCATCCTGGCCAACACGGTGAAACCCTGTCTCTACTAAAAAATACAAAAAACTAGCCGGGCGAGGTGGCGGGCGCCTGTAGTCCCAGCTACTCAGGAGGCTGAGGCAGGAGAATGGCGTAAACCCAGGAGACGGAGCTTGCAGTGAGCTGAGATCCGGCCACTGCACTCCAGCCTGGGTGACAGAGCGAGACTCTGTCTCAAAAAATAAATAAATAAATAAAAAATAAAAGTCTCAGGGTCTTCTGCCCAGAGGAGGGAGCAGTGCTGGCCTGAGGACACCCTCGTTGGCTGGATGTGGGGCCTCAGCCTCAGCCCTCAGCAGCCCTGACGTGAGGCCCATCCTCCAGGGTTTACTGCCCCTCCCCTGACGTCAGGCCCGTCTCCCAGGGTTCGCTGAGCCCCCAGCCCCATGGCCGCCCTGTGGCTGCCCCCATCCTGCTGGCTGCCTCCTAGCTGCAGGGGGTGTCACCTTGCCGTGGCCACAAGAGGCCCAAAGGGCAAGAGGAAGGAGACGTGAGGCAGGGTCACGTTCACAAGCACAGGAAGGGCCCAGGGAGCGCAGGTGTCAGGAATCAGGTGGGGAATGTGAAGGCGGCTTCAGACATTCAAGGAAGTGAATGACGGAGCCACAGGCAGGCCACCTCGCTCTCCCCGCCTCACCAGCTGGGGCAGGCTCCTCCTGGAGAAGACGCGGCGCGGGCAGCAGAGGTGCAGGTGGCCGGAGCACCAGCTCCGCATGTTCAGCCACTCCACGGTGCGGGCGGGCGCCGGGCCCTCCTCCCGGTGCAGCAGGATCAGCTGCTTCTGAGCACGCACAGCTGTGCTCTCCAGCATCCGCTCCAGCTGAAAGGCAGAGCCCACGTGTCTGCCAGTCGGGCGAGCCTGGGACTCGGGGCAGGACGGAGCTGAGGGCAGCACAGAGGGTCTGAGGGCAGGACCCCGGGAGCAGCTCCTGGGTTCTGCAAAGCAACTTGGCTGTGGCCTGGTCTTGGCGCTGCCGAAGCTCTGACGGCAGGGGTCCGTCCGTCCACGGTGCTGGGCAAGGTCAGCACGGCAGGAGGGGACACCTCCTCTTTCTGTTTCTCTAACACTGCCTTATAAACACATACAGCAACCTTTTCGAATGAGGTATTTTGCAAACAAACCCTCACAAGGGAGCATCACTAGCTGCAGAACAGGAACATACATCAGAGAGAAGGAATTTTTAGCTGCCCCAGGATTAGCCCAGGCAGGCTTGTGATGAGAACAGAGCAGGGAGCAGAGGAGGGAGACGGAAACGCGAACTGAAGGCAGGAAGCTGGAGAACGAACAGGACTGGCCAGTCGTGAGCCCGAGGCCTCGCCTGCAGCCAGCCACAGGCAATCGGGTCAGCGATCTGCTGCCATCGGGGAACCTGCAGACACAGCCTGGGGCCGGTGTCCCGAAGGTGCCTGCACAGGCTGTTCCCGTCGACTGAGGATGCAGGGGCAGAGGGTGGGGCATTCACAAGAGGAAAACTAAGCCAGAAAAAGCAGCGAGGGGAACAGGAGCGACGCCGAAACCTAAATGCTGTGGAGAAGAGCAAACTTCAGACGACATAAAATAGGGCACCGTTTATGTAAAAGGTTAGACCTGGAAAGGGCTTCCTGTACCGGCTGTAAAAGTGCGAAAGGCAGCCAGAGGCTTTGACTTCACAAGAGGCCACGTGGGGCCCCTGCCCTGCCCCGCCCCGTGCTGGAACCGCTGGAGACCTGCCCTGCCTGTGCTGGCACCGCTGGAGGTCAATACAGCACCATGTTTTTAAAACGCGGGTAGCAGATATCTGAGTGTTGGCTCTCATTATCTGTCCTTTTCTGAGTTTGTGCAGTATTTCACTCAAAGGAAAAGAGAAACAGGAGGTTCTGAAGAGAGGGCTCTCCCCAGCTCCACTGGCCTTCCCCGTGCTCACCTCGCCCACTGTGGGCTCCTGGTCACCCAGACCCACGATGAGGATGCAGTCGGCCTGGCGCACGCAGCGCTGGGTCCAGGGTGTGAGCGTGCCGTCTGCCTGGTAGAGCACGATCCTGTGCGTGTCCTCCTGCTGCCCCAACCAGCTGGACAGCCGGTACTCGTGGACACTGCAGGCCGCAGAGGGAGGACCTCACTACTCCACAAGGGCCTGGCACTCTTAGTGCGTGTCCCCAGTGGAAAGAGGCAGCAGAGGCCAGCACCAGTCGCTGCCCCTTCCCCTCCCTGCCCAGCACTTCCTGCTATCTCTAGTTCACAGTGAGTCATTCAGGGCCTAGGTGGTCAAGCACAGGCTGCAGTTAAGCCCAGAGGCTGAGGCTCACTGCAGGGCAGGCAGGGGAAGGTGAGACCCCAGGCTGCCCAGGCGGGAAGCGGGGGCCGGGATCTCCTGGGAGGCCCGACAGTGCCCAGCAGGTCACCGCTGCCCAGTGTGTGTTTGGTGAGGGGTGTCATGTCATCAGCCCTCACACCCCGGTGTGCTGGACGAGGAGCTGCAGTGCAGATGCCGGACATGACAGAGTGGGGACACCTCTCAGGGCTGCACTGGGCTGGCTGGGAGGAGGGAGTCGGGGCTGATGGCACGCACCTGTCCAGGGCAGCAGAGCCGAGGCGCCGTTTTATGTTGTCACTGGTCAGCAGCAGGGTCGGGCCTGAAAACACCACCACCAGTAATGGAGCCTGCCCAGGCCGCCCACCTCCAAGGCTGAGCAAGGCACCAACGCCAAGCAAGGCAGTGAGAGTCCACTCCCCACCCCCAAGGCCTGCTCCCCTTCAGCGCAACTGCCAAGCCTTCTTCACCTGCCAGTGCGGAAGGGCCTGTGGCCTGATGCTACCTCCCCTCTGCCCTGAAGGAGGCCTCAGGCAGCCTCTCTGAGCCTCGGTCTCCTCCAGCACGAGGAGCACTGGAATCTCTGTGTCCTGCCACGTGTGTGATGGGAGATAACATAATTTCTCAAACCCAGATCATCGAGGCGCCAGACGCCAAGAGGCCAGGGTCCCCAGTGTCGAGATGCCTGTTCGTACGCATCTTCCACGTGGGCACAGCTGTCAGCGCCCTTCTCAACCAGGGGCGCCAGCATCAGCCCTGGCATCGCAGCCACCAGAGGCTTGGGGTAGAAGTTAGGATGAGGGGCTCAGCCTGAGGGGGTGCTGCTTGGCAGTGCCAGGTGGGAAAGGACCCAGAGCCTCATGTGTGGGAAGCAGAGAGGTCTAATTCTAATTACAAGCTAGAGATCGGCCAAGCGCCGTGGCTCACGCCTGTAATCCCAGCACTTTGGGAGGCGAGGCGGGCGGATCATGAGGTCAGGAGATCGAGACCATCTTGGCTAACACGGTGAAACCCCGTCTCTACTAAAACTATAAAAAATCAGCTGGGCATGGTGGCAGGTGCCTGTAGTCCCAGCTACCTGGGAGGCTGAGGCAGGAGAATGGCGTGAACCCAGGAGGCGGAGCTTGCAGTGAGTCGAGATCGCACCACTGCACTCCAGCCTGGGTAACAGAGCGAGACTCCGTCTCAAAAAAAACAAAAACAAAAACAAAAACAAAAACAGCTAGAGATCAGATCAATGTGTCCTGTGCCTTGCCTTAACTGGCAACATTTGTTTCCCGGAGGCACACAAAATAAGGGCCCCTCTGACAACTGACCTGGAATACCCCCTGGACTCAAGGCCCAGCTCTGAGCTCAAAATCCAGCCCAGTGCCGGTGGGACATGCAGCAGCCGGAACCTGCTCGCTGCTGTGGGACTGTAGCCCGGTGCAGCCTCACTGGAAGTCGGCCCGGTGGTTTATTCTACAACTAAACATACTCTGACCACAGGATCCGGCAATCACACTTCTTGGTGTTTACCCAAAGGAAGTGAAAACTTCTCTCCACGCAGAAGCACGCACACGGGTGTTTACAGCAGCTTCACTCCTAATTGCCAAACCCTGGAAGCTGCCAAGATGCCCTCCAGTAGATGAACAGATAAACTGGTGCGTCCAGGCAGCGGACGATGACTCAGCACCAAAAAGAACTGAGCTCCAGGCCAGAAAAAGGCCAGGAGGAACCTGGGTGCACGTGACTGAGTGGGAGAAGGACGTCTGCAGAGGCCACACTGTGTGGTTCCATTTCTATCACTTTCCCAGAATGACGAAATTATAGAGATCGAGAACAGGTCCCTGGCTGTCGGCAGGCTGGGGTGCTGGGTGACAACGTGGCAGCCACCCGCAGGGTCTCCTCCGTGACAGAGCGGCCCCACGGCCCTGAGTGGTGCAGGTCACAGAAATGGCACCCATGTCACACCGCACCGCACACACCCAGGAGGGCACGGACGGGCTGCTGGGGCCCGAGGGGTCTACAGACGGCGTAAACACCAACGTCCCAGCCTCGATGTTACCCCATAACGCGCTGCCCGTGAGGGAGCCCCAGCGAAGGGAACGTGGGATCTCTCTTTACTATTCTACAATTTCTCCAATCCTATAATTATTTCAAAATAAAGTGGTTTTTCTGTTTGTTTGTTTTGACACGGAGTCTCGCTCTGTTGCCCAGGCTGGAGTGTAATGGCACCATCTCAGCTCACTGCAACCTCCACTTCCCGAGGTCAAGCGATTCTCCTGCCTCAGCCTCCCTCGTAGCTGGGACTACAGGCGCCCACCACCAAGCCTGGCTAATTTTTGTGTTTTTAGTGAGACGGGGTTTCAACATGTTGGCTAGGTCAGTCTCAAACTCCTGACCTCAAGTGATCCTCCCACCTCAGCCTCCCCAAGTTCTGGGATTAAGGGCGTGAGCCACCGCACCCGGCGAAAAAGTGTTTTTTAAAGGTAACTAGTGCCGGGCGCGGTGGCTCAAGCCTGTAATCCCAGCACTTTGGGAGGCCGAGACGGGCGGATCACGAGGTCAGGAGATCGAGACCATCCTGACTAACATGGTGAAACCCCGTCTCTACTAAAAAATACAAAAAACTAGCCGGGCGAGGTGGCGGCGCCTGTAGTCCCAGCTACTCGGGAGGCTGAGGCAGGAGAATGGCGTGAACCCGGGAGGCGGAGCTTGCAGTGAGCCGAGATCCGGCCACTGCACTCCAGCCTGGGTGACAGAGCCAGACTCCGTCTCAAAAAAAAATAAAAATAAAAAAAAAAAATAAAGGTAACTAGTTTCTATGAAGCAGTACAGCTCCACCGCACTGCTAGAAGACGTTTTTGGATGCACCTGGAATACTCTGACTGATGTCACTGGAAATGAGTACGATTTTCTGCATATACTGGGAATGCGTGTCATGTAATGACGGTCAAGGTCATCAGACAAGGCAATCCATGCTTTATGTGTTTTAAAATTTTGTTTTGAGAGTAACTTTTATTTATTTACTTTTGAGATAGAGTCTTGCTCTGTCACCCAGGCTAGAGTGCAGTGGTGCGATCTCGGCTCACTGCAACCTCTACCTCCCAGGTTCAAGCGATTCTCCTGCCTCGGCCTCCCACGTAGCCAGGATTACAGGTGCCCACCAACACGCCCGGCTAATTTTTATATTTCCAGTAGAGATGGGGTTTCTCCATGTTGGCCAGGCTGGTCTTGAACTCCTGACCTCAGGTGATCCACCCGCCTCGGTCTCCCAAGGTGCTGGGATTACAGGTGTGAGCCACCACGCCTGGCTGAGAATAACTTTTAAATATTAGATGTTTATAGTAGTATCTTTCTACATTATACATTTTTTGCATTTATTGTTTTGTATTACCAAATGTCTGTATCAGGAGAGAGCATTTTCACATGGTTCTGAAATACTCTTGTCACAATATATTGTTTCATAATAATTATACAACATTCATTGCATTAACATTATTATTATTATTATTATTAGAGATGGAGTCTTACTCTGTCGCCCAGGCTGCGGTGCAATGGTGTGATCTCAGCTCACTGCAACCTCTACCTCCCAGGTTCAAGTGATTCTCCTGCCTCAGCCTCCCCAGTAGCTGGGATTACAGACGTGTACCACCACGCCCGGCTAATTTTTGTATTTCTAGTAGAGATGAGGTTTTACCATGTTGGCCAGGCTGGTCTTGAACTCCTGACCTCTGCCTCCCAAAGTGCTGGAATTACAGGCATAAGCCACTGTGCCCGGCCACATTCATTATTATTGCATTATTTTGCCAAGACAACACTGAAATTCTTAGTATAACCCTAAACCCACAGAAAACTGACTTCTTATTATCATGGTCTCTATAATCACATGGAAACTTGTAAATAAAATGTTGCAAAGATTACAGGATACCTGGATACCGCAGAATTCTGAGTTCTCAGGAAATTCAACTCCTTGTCCCTGAATCCCCAGATTTAACAGCTGCCAGGAATTTGGAAACACTACGGAACACTGACCCCCCCTGGCCCCGGCCACCCACCGCTACGTCCCCTTGAAGACGGAGGGCAGCCGGCACGCCCCCTCTGCAGGCCCAGAACCCAAGGACGGCTGGAGGCCGGGAGGCCCAGGCTTACCGATGGCGCTGAGGGCGTGCTCCAGCTCCAGGGCGAAGGCGGTGAGGGGCACTTCCTCTGACACGGGCATCACTGCCACCGTGGACAGGTTGACAGCCGGGTTCCCCGAGTCCCACTTGCTGCCCGCCGTGGGGAGCCCAAGCTGGTGGCCTGTGGAGCAAACGACCCACGTCAGCTGGGACAGCCCAGACGCTCGCAGATGCCTCCAGACGCCCTGTGGCCCCCCAGGCTGCCCAGGAGCAACGCAGCAGCACCAGAGGCTACCTGGGCCTCACACCGTCCCCAGCCATGTGGCTGCCCAGGCCTCATGCCACCCCCAGCCCTCAGAGGCTACCTGGGCCTCACACCGTCCCCAGCCATGTGGCTGCCCAGGCCTCATGCCACCCCCAGGCCTCAGAGGCTACCTGGGCCTCACACCGTCCCCAGCCATGTGGCTGCCCAGGCTTCATGCCTCCTCCAGGCCTCAGAAGCTACCTGGGCCTCACACCGTCCCCAGCCATGTGGCTGCCCAGGCCTCATGCCTCCTCCAGGCTGGAGGCTGTCTTGGTCTCAGGCCTTCCCCAGCTCTTCCTGATGAGCTGCCAGTCCACACGTGCAAGCGCCCCCAGGCCCCACACAGCAGGCCTGACGAGCACTGGTCCAGGCCCAGGACCAGGCCCAGGCAGTGGATTCATCCTGACCCACTGAAGACAGTGATTCAGGGAGCAACTGAAAGGAACATGAGGCTTGGAGTAAACTAGACAAACTCTCCAGGTGAGGCCTCATCCTCTGAACCAACCCCTCGCAGGGCTTTCCACCACTCACTCCAGGAACAGTAAACAATTCACGGGCTAGAGAGCAACAGGCGTGCTTCTCTTGTCTGTTATCTGCAAGGGACTCCAGAAACAAGAGAGCACAGCGCAGCCCCGGGAAACCTAGGTCAGGACCTGGAGACCCCGGAGACGTCAGTGAGGAGGTCAAGGCAGACCGGGTTTTCCTCTCCCTGAGACTGGAGCCTCCAGGGCCCACCATGGGGGCACACCCAGACAGGCAGGACCCTCTTCCTGGCCCCGACGTGGGCTGAGGGGCCCCTCGGCCAGCACAACAGCAAGGACATGGACTGGGAGTCTGGGAACTTGAGGGTCCCCCGAGGGTCCCAGGCCCTCTTTACCGGAAGCCGCGTGATGAGTGGCACCTCTGCTTCCACAGAAGAGGTTGAGGGGACGGCCTCAACACTCCCAAGGCCACCGTACCACCAGTCACGCTCCTACCCACAAGGGTCTCCTGCATCCAGGTGCCATGGACACTCCTCCTCTGCAGCCCCCATGGCCCAGCCCTCCCACAGGCTGTCCCCTGGCCTATGCCTCCCGTCCCCAGTGAGGTAGCTTCCAAAATCCACCAGACATGCAGGTCCTGATTGGCCAAGGTCAGAGTAAGGGGATGCGGTGTGGTCAGGCAAGAGTCCAGGAGAGCAAACCTGGGGACACAGAACAAGTGAGGGCTTGAGGGACACTCCCTGCAGACGGCGGCTAGTGGACGCCTGCAAGCTCGCAGGATGCACACGGCGCCGTGGCAGCCCTGCGGGTAAGAGCCTGTGAACAGGGAACATGGCTCGGGGAACCAGCGCACAGCCAGCGATCGTGGTGCTCACAGGAAAACAGCTGATGACGTGCTGCTGAGCAGGGAAGCTGCAGAGTGGTTTATAACTACGATTCCATTATTACATAAATACTCCAGGCCTCCCAAACGAAAGCACCTGTACCTGTACGCAGGCAGAAACAGATAAATGATGCTGCCCATCCAACATGCCGAATGAATGTCCAAGACTCACACAGCCCCAGATCTTCCCTCAGACTCGGCCCCCACCTCCGGCCCCAGGCTCCCACCCGACCCACCAACGCTCAGTCCCTGCCCTCAGTCCGTCTCATCACCGGGAGCACTGGGCCTCCACCGCACAGCCTTGGGGTGGCTTCAGCCGCCTTCTGAAAGGAGGCTCTGTGCACAGTGGCCAGAGCTGACCTTCAATGCCCAAGTCCACCAGGAGCCTTTTTTGCTCAAAGCTCCCAGTGCCCCTCCCCACTCAGAACAAGCCAAAGTCTGCAGCCTCTGCCCATCTGCGGTCCCCGAGAGCTGCTGGTGACCCCCACACCACACAGCTCTATGCCCATCTGCGGTCCCCGAGAGCTGCTGGTGACCCCCACACCACAGAGCTCTATGCCTGGCCCCAAGGGTCCTGACCTCTTCAGGGAGGGCTGCCCCACCACCTGCGTGCCCCTGCCTCTCCCCACCCTCTTCTGAGCAATCTCTCTTGCCTTCTTGGTCTAATTTCGTCCCTGACCTAACTCGACTGCAGCTCTGGGAGAGGGATCTTTCCTGACTGGCCTCCTGAGCATGGTGCCAGCTTCCGACGGGCCCAGTGCCCCCAGCAGGTAAGCCAAGGATGGAGGGTTGGGTGCTGCGCAACGGCTGCCAAGGGCTCAGTGTCCTGTGCCCATCTCTGCCTGGAGGCTGCACAGCCCAGCTGCATCCCCAGCTGCTCACAGACCGCACCCCGCTCTGCCAAGGGCTGTGACGTGCAGCGCTGGAGACGTGCAGAGGCATCTACACGGGGCCCTGGTCGGGATAAGCGCTTGGAGCTGAGCGGCCCAAAGTGCAGGCCTGGAGGGCAGCGCTGGCCGTGTGTCGCCGTGGGGCTCATGGACCCCTGGAGGGGACCCCAGCCCTGGAGTAAATACCCAACCAGCAGCACCAGTAAAGGACTCTGCCCTCGGCCTGACGCGTGCAGCTGTCTGTGCAGGAAAAGAACCAGGCGCTGGCACCTAGCACCACCTGAGCAGCTGTAAGAGGGAGGCGCCACGTCTTCATCTCCTGCCTGGGGGCTCGTAGGTCTTTGTGCAGCCTGCACAGCCTTTGTGATAAAACTCGACAGCGACAGACAAGAAAATGAAGCAAAATAAACCCTCCACACATGTTCCTCCTGGCAGCCTCTGCTCCTCTGGGGAACCAACCACACCGGCACGGAACCCACTGTGCCGGCCACAGAGCCTCCAGTTCTCACCACCCCCAGCTGGCTCCCTGAGAGGCCGTCCCATCCAGCCTCCACCTGCCTGTCAGTGGGGTCTCAGGAGCCCGGGCACCACCACGACCCAGCACGCCCCGCGAGGCGTCCCCAGCATCACCTTCACCACATGTCCCTCCCCGCAGCTGAGCCTCAGCCACACAGGAGGAGCGGGGGACTCGGGCCAGACGATGCTTCTCCGCCTCTAGGCGCTAAGTGGAAGGCATGTGGCTTCTATAATCAGGAGGAAATAACTCCCAGATAGCAAACAAACAATACACACACACGCCGAAGTCCTGCTGAGCAGAGAAGGATGGGGAACCGCCTCCTCGTCCCGAGATTCGGCCTCAACATTGCTCTCGCAGTCTGATGTGGACTTACTGTTCCTGCAGCTTTTCCTTGGGGATCCCCTTCCTCTCGCCTCTCCACAGACTGAGGTGTCACAGTCCTCATTTCAGGCAGAACGGGGGAGGCCATTGCTAGTTCCACATGGCCTTGGCCTTGGGAAAAGGCACCGGTAAGGTTCTGGCTCTGGGCCAGAAGGGAGGTGGCGCAGACACAGGCCACCTGACTGTCGCCAGTCACGATCAGAGAGGGACACAGCTCGAGGCAGCTCTCACAAGACTCCAAAGGATGGAGAGGAAGGCAGGCTGGCCGGGGACCCTGGACTCATGAAAGAACCACCCGACTCAGGCCAAGAAAGAAGCAGAGTCTGCTTCCCAGCCACATGGCTGCCACAGACGGAGGGGTCTGTCACTCCCTCCCCATGGGAGCTGCCTCCAGCGACACTGACTGGCACCAAGCAAGCACCAGCACACGCCCCTCCCAACTATGCACCCCTTTACCAGCAAGCATCTCCCAACTGTCCACCGCCCATACAGGAAACATCTTCACCAACTGTCCACCCCCTGACCAGCAGACATCCCCCCCAATTGTTACTCACTGACCAGCAAACATCCCCACAAACTGTCTACCCCGACCAGCAAACATCCCCCGCAACTGTCCACCCCCTGACCAGTAAACATCCCTCCCAACTGTCCACCCCCTGACCAGCAGACATCGCTCCCAACTGTCCACCCCCTGACCAGTGAACATCCCTCCCAACTGTCCACCCCCTGACCAGCAGACATCACTCCCAACTGTCCACCCCCTGACCAGTGAACATCCCTCCCAACTGTCCATCCCCTGACCAGTGAACATCCTTCCCAACTGTCCACCCCCTGACCAGTGAACATCCTTCCCAACTGTCCACCCCCTGACCAGCAGACATCCCCCCCCACTCTCCACCCCCTGACCAGCAGACATCCCTCCCGACTGTCCACCCCGACCAGCAAACATGCCTCCCAACTGTCCATCCCGAACAGCAGACATCCCTCCCAACTGTCCACCCCCTGACCAGCAGACATCGCTCCCAACTGTCTACCCCCTGACCAGCAGACATCGCTCCCAACTGTCCACCTCCTGCAGAGAAAGCAGAGGAGGCCCCACCCCCTGCCAACTAGAGGCAGGAGACCAAGAAAGCCTCCGAATCTGCTCATGAAGACCCAGCCTGTGCCAGAGTCAGGTGTGCGGCTCTGAGAGCTGAAGACGGCACAGAATGCAGCCTTCACACTGGGCCTGGGCAGCACCCAGTAGGCACACCAGGGTCAGTTCACATTCAAACCACACTCCACAAATGTCAGCCAAGACATGCCCTGTGAATACAAGCACACCGACAGCGAAATTGAAGACTTAAATGGGAACCAGAGTCTCATAGTCTAACACGCAAAACATCAGGACTCAAAATCTACAGTGACCAGGACGGGTCCACAGTGACCAGGTCATATCCACAGTGACCAGGACGGGTCCACAGTGACCAGGGTGCCCAGAATGGGTCCACAGTGACCAGGTCATATCCACGGTGGCCAGGAAAGGTCCACAGTGACCAGGGTGCCCAGGACGGGTCCACAGTGACCAGGGTGACCAGGACGGGTCCACAGTGACCAGGCCACATCCACGGTGACCGAGACACCAAGAGCAAGGAGACTCTGAACCAGAGCAGCAGAAACAGTCCACAGATAAAAGCAACCACATGTCACGGATGGAATTATTTCTCCAGGACAATAAAGCCGTTATTACCAGCTAGGACCAGCAATCCTGAACACTCCTGAAACAAAGACAAAGAGAGAACGTCCTAGTAAAGAAACAGGAGGCCTACAGAAGAACCAAAACACAATGACAGAAAAATTTTTTAAAACTCTGATAGGCCTCAAAGCAGAATCGAGATGACAAAAAGCCAAAGATCCTGAAGATAGATCAAAAGAAACAATTCCATCTTAACATCAGAGAGAGAAAAAGATTTAAAACACGAACAGTGCCCCGGAGACCTTGAGGACAATAACGCGAGGTCTAACACTTGCGTCACTTTATTTCCAGAACAGGTGGAGGCGTCCACAGGTGAAAGAATCGTTTGAAGACATACAGACTGAACGCTTCCAAAATGTGTTAAAAGCTATAAACCTATGGGTCCAAGACGAAGAAACCCCAAACAGGACAGATCCAAAGTATTCATGCTCAGACACTTCCAAACCACATTTCTGAAAACTAAAGACAGAGAAAAACATCTTTGTGTGTGTGTGTGTTTTGAGGCAGGGTCTTGCTCTGTTGCCCAGGCTGGACTGTGGCTCACTGTAACCTGGAACTCTGAGGCCCAAATGATCCTCCCACCTCAACCCCCTGAGTAGCTGGGACGATAGGTGTGTGCTAACATGCCTGGATCATTTTTCAAATTTTATTCATAGAGACAGGGTCTCACTATGTTGCCCAAGTTGGTCTTGAACTCCTGGGCTCAAATAATCCTCCTGTCTCAGCCTCCCAAAGTGCTAGGATGAGGTGTAAGCCACTGTGCCTGGTCAAAAAAGTTTTGAACACAGCTAGAGAAAAATGATGCGTTACCTACTGGAGAACATCTGAATACCTGGATCTTTCATTAGAAGCAACAGGCCGGCCAGGCGCGGTGGCTCACGCCTTTAATCCCAGCACTTTGGGAGGCCAAGGTGGGCAGATCACGAGGTCAGGAGATCGGGACCATCCTGGCTAACACGCTGAAACCCTGTCTCTACTAAAAATACAAAAAAATTAGCCAGGTGTGGTGGCAGGCACCTGTAGTCCCTGCTACTCAGGAGGCTGAGGCAGGAGAATCGCTTGAACCTGGGAGGCAGAGCTTGCAGTGAACCCAGATTGCGCCACTGCACTCCAGCCTGGGCGACAAAGCGAGACTCCACCTCAAAAAAAAAAAAAAAAAAAAAAAAAAAGAAAAAGAAAAGAAGCAACAGAGATCATGAGGAAGTGGCACAAAATTTTTAAAGTGCTGAAATACTTTGTATCTCTGCCAAACCAGAATTAATACATCCAGCAAAAGCACCCTTCAGGATGAGGGCAATGCGGAGACATTCTCAGATTCTCTGATGAGGGAAAGCAAGCTGATCTGTGGCCATCAGACCTTCTCTGAAAGAACCGCTAACCACGATTCTGCAACAGCAGAGACGAGCATAGAAGGAAACCTGAGACGCTGCAAATAAGAGGAGGAGGACAGTGACACTGGGTGAGCATCACGGACTATTCTCCTCCCTAAGTTTTAAAGAAGAGGAGGAGGACGGTGACTCTGGGTGAGCATCACGGACTATTCTCCTCCCTTAGTTTTAAGAGGAGGAGGAGGACGGTGACACTGGGTGAGCATCACGAACTATTCTCCTCCCAAGTTTTAAAGAAGAAGAGGAGGAGGACAGTGACTCTGGGTGAGCATCATGGACTGTTCTCCCAAGTTTCAAAAGTTACGTTTGATGGCTGAAAGTGAAAGTTGTAGCCCTGTGTTTTTGGGGGGTGGGGTTCAGTGCACATGGAGGTAATAGTTAAGACAACCACATTATAAATGGGGAAGGATGAAGTGACTGAACAATGGTGATTTCTCCATGTCCCACTGAAAGTGACGGGATGCAGCTGTCAGTAGACAAGGAGAAGCTAGGTATGGACACTGCAATTGCTAGAGTGACCACTGAAAATACCATATGAAGAGACTTCATGGAAACCACAGGTGAAAATTATAATGGAATACTCAAAAAAGCTCAAGTAACCTAAAAGAAGACAGAAAAGCTGGGCGCAGAGGCTCACAGCTGTGGTCTCAGTGACTCAGGAGGCTGAGGGGGGAGGATCACTCGAGCCCAGGAGTTACAGGCTGCAGGGAGCTATGACTGTACTGTGACTAGCCACTGCACTCCAACCTAGACAAAAGAGACCCCATCTCTAAAATAAAAAGAAAAGAGAAAATACAGTAGTGTTTAACAACAGTGGGGGATGTGAGAACAGAAAAAACAATAAAATGGAAGACGTAAACCCCAACAAAATAATTACACTACGTATCTACGGTATAAACACACAAAAGATAAAGATTGTCAGAAGGGATGAAAAATACATGATCCAACCAGACACCTTCTACAAGAAGCTCACTTAAAATTCATGGTGTAGGTGAGCGGAGAGTGAAGAGTCACATTACGTGTTAAACAGTGTCCCCCAAAATTCATGGCCACCCAGAATAGCAAAATGTGACCTTATTTGGAAACGGTTTTGCAGAGGGACTCAGATGAAGATGGGGTCACCCTAGAGTGGGGCTCATACTTCGCTGCCTCTGTCTGGCCCTCTGTGCATCCATCTGCTTCTTGGACAGATGTTCAATGCTGTGCACACGTCACTGTGTGAACACAGGCACAGGTTCCTGCTCCCAGTCAGCTCACACACCGGGACCAGAGGCAGGTGACAGGTCATGCAATGTATCGGGGTGACAAGCACAGAGGAGAAAAAGGAAGTGGAAAGGGAGCTGCGAGTGCTGGGCGGATGGGGAGACCGGGGAGGCCGGGGAGGCTGTGGTGAGATGGAGATGCAGGACACGCGGCAGTAGCCAGGCTCTCCTGAGGGCTCCAGGCAGAGAGCAGCAGGCACAGAGGTGGGAGGCAGGAGAGAGGAGCTCCCAGAACGGCAAGGGGGTCTGGGGTCAAATGCTGTCCGCCAAAGATAAATGGTCAGAGTCCTCAAGAACGTGGGACCCGGTGAGAGAGGACGGCCTGAGAGCTAACAGTGGCTCCGGAAAAAGCACACCTCAGAACTAGGAAAGGATGAATACGCTGGAGCAGGAAAAACTAAATTCCCAACGCTCTAGAACAGTCTCTCGCTTTCCATGCTTAGCACAGGAGAAAGCACTCTCTGCTCCGCGGGGCACTGACTGAGCTCTGTTCCACCAATATCGTTTCCGGAGGTTTCACCCTGTTTCCTTTTTCCAATCAGCGGACGAAAATAGGAGGCGGATATATCACATTTCATCTTTTCACTTATAGCAGAGCTTTCCTCCAATGCTGCCCACATTGAGACACAGTTTGACAAAATTACTGGGCTCGGGTGGGTGGGGCTCTGAGGTGGGTGAGGCCGTGTGTGGGCGGGGCTCCAGGGGGAGGGTGGGACCATGGGTGGGTGAGACTCCAGCACAGGGCAGAGCCATGGGCTGGTGGGTGGGGCCCCACGATAGGGCAGGGCCATGGACTGGGTGGGTGGGGCTCCAGGATCGGGTGGGGCCATGCACTGGCTAGGCGGGGCTCCAGGACAGAACAGGGCAGGGCTATGGGCGGGGTGGGCAGGGCTCCAGGGCAGGGCAGGGCTATGGGCTGGGTGGGCAGGGCTATGGGCGGGGTGGGCGGGGCTCCAGGACAGGACAGGGCAGAGCCATGGGCTGGGTGGGTGGGGCCCCACGATAGGGCAGGGCCATGGGCTAGGTGGGCAGGGCTCCAGGGGGAAGGGGACCATGGGTGAGTGAGACTCCAGCACAGGGCAGGGACATGGGCTGGGTGGGCGGGGCTCCAGGACTGGGTGGGGGCTCCCAGGAGGCTCTGGGTTGGGGGAGGTGACCCACCTGTCACAGGTCCCTGCTGGAGGCTGCCTAGGATCTTCTCACCCAAGAGATGAATCAGCCGAGTCACCACCTGCAGGCAGACACACATTTTAAACCGAGAAACGCTGGGAACCAAAGACAGGGATGCTCAACAACAGCGAGACTCAGCAAATGGTGCTGGATCTGCTTTTCAAAACCTCCATGAACTGAGTTGCACGGGCCATGGCTGTCCAGGCCTAGGAGCCTTTACGATGCCCAGGAAAGCCGTGTGGTGCCTTCCCGGTTGCCAGGCCAGCAGGTACAAGGGGTATGTCCCCTGTGACCGTGAGCCCAGGCCAGCCTCACTTTCACTTCCGGGCAGGCAGACAACTCCAGGGGAAGCCACCCACCCTGAAGGCAGGACAAGCGCAGGACAAGGGCAGGCTTCTCTGGAACTGAGGGCTCATTGTGGCCACTGCTCCTGGGTGCCAACCCCGCTTCAGGGCACGGTTGGGGACATTCGTCCCGACTGGACCAAACGGTCCCCACACCAGGGGTCACTGGCTTCCAGGGACCCTGCCCAGGGGCTGACTATACAGCAAAGCTGGCCCCACAACAGTGGACTCACTGGCTCCACCCATACTGTCCCCCAGAAGCTGCTGGTTGGATGGAGCCCTGCAGTGGCCTCTAAAGGGTGGGCCAGGGCTCCTGCTCCGAGGAGCTCATGAAGACAAGGCCCGCCCTGCAGGCCAGGACAAAGCAGATGGAGGAGTGGCCTGGCTCCCTGCTGCTCCCAGCAACTGTGGCTGCTGCCCCAGAGCCTGCCGGCCCTGTGAGCTGCACTCACACGCTCCGCCAGGCTCTCCTGGTCCATAAATGGGCAACTGCAGCAAGAGCCAGGACCCAGGAGCTGCAGGCGGGAGAACCAGGGCCCAGGAGCTGCGGGTAGGAGAACCAGGGCCCAGGAGCTCCGGGCAGGAGAACCAGGGCCCAGGAACTGTGGGTGGGAGAACCAGGGCCCAGGAACTGTGGGTGGGAGAAGCGCTACCTGAGGGGAGGCGGTGGAGGGAGGACAGTGATGGCCTCCCAGGGTGAGCCCCAGGGACGGTGAGAGGCACTGGCCATAGAAGGCCCTGCAACATGCTAGGGTCCACACCTGCACCCCCTTTCCATTTGCTCTAGAATGAAGAACTTCTTGGGATCTGTGTGCTGGCTGCTGACGAATAGCCGCAGACCTGCCCTTCAGGCCCCTCAGCTGGTCCTTCCTGGGCGCTCTCCTCACCGCTGACCTGCACTTGCAAGCAGCCTGCCCTGTCCTCCTCCAGATCTCAGAGCCAAAGTCACTTCCCTTTCCTCTGCCGCACCCACGTCACTCACAAGTAGAGAGCACCAAGAAGGCAGCTGTGCAACTGTCCTGGGAAGCAGCCCAGGCACCTCTCCAGTTTTCCTACCCACCGTTCCTGGCCCCCACCCAGCTGGGCTCTGATCTTCACCTCCTTCAGACTGCCCCTCCAGGTTGTTTTCCATCCACGTGTACGTGGACCGAATGATCACCACAACTCAGGGCACAGCTTGGGACATGGCCTGTGCCACCCTCACCCGCACCACCCTCACCCACGCCTTTACCAGCTCCACACCCTTACCTGTGCCTTGCCCTCACCTGCTGGGCGCCCTCACTTGTGCCGCCTTCACCAGCTCCACCCCCTCACCTGCTCTGCACCCTCACTTGCTCCATGCCCTCACCTGTGCTCTGCCCTCATCCGCACCCTCATCCGCTCTGGCCTCACCCACTCTGCCCTCACCCACTCCGCTCTCACCTGTTCCGTGCCCTCATCTGCTACCTGCGCCATCCTCACCTGTGGGTACCTGCGCTTGATGGACGTGAGGGCTCCTGCTGGCAGCTTGGCCAGTTCTGAGTCCCGAACGGCATGCACCGTGGTCGCCCGGGCCTGGTGGGTCAGTGTCTCCACCTGAGGAGAGGAACCGGCTGCTGGGGCTGCGGGCTTGGGAGGGCTGAGCCAGCTGGGCCTGTCCCTGACAGCCTCTGGTGCCTGCTGGAGCCACACATGGCCCTGGCATGCACAAAGCAAGGGAGGAGCCCAAGGCTCCCGCACACCCTCCACACCGCAAGGCGGAGGCAGCCAGTGAGTGCTGGCATGTGGTGTGTTGTCAGAACCACTGGAACATGCCAGAAGCCAAAGGTGCTCCCCGCAACCCAGGCAAGTCACAGACACAGGCATCAGACACCACAGGCTAGAACAAGGGCAGTCTCAGCTCTTCCGAAGAAATAAATGCCTTTGGAGAACAGTCTTTTATTTATTTATTTTTTTGAGACGGAGTCTCATCGCTCTGTTACCCAGGCTGGAGTGCCGTGGCACGATCTCGGCTCACTGCAAGCTCCTCCTCCTGGGTTCACACAATTCTCCTGCCTCAGCCTCCTGAGTAGCTGGGACCACAGGCGCCCGCCACTATGCCTGACTATTTTTTTTGTATTTTTAGTACAGACAGGGTTTCACCATGTTAGCCAGGATGGTCTCGATCCCCTGACCTCGTGATCTGCCCGCCTAGGCCTCCCACAGTGCTGGGATTACAGGTGTGAGCCACTGTGCCTGGCCTGGAAAAAACCTCTTTTTAAGATGTGTCCCTCAGAACCTGCGGGAGCCCGGCCATCTGACACTGAGGCCTCCCTGCCGGCATCCGGCCAGGTGTATGAGCCTTCACCCGGTGGACAGATGAAGACCAGCCTGCCCAAAATGGTGAAACCCTGTCTCTATTAAAAATACAAAAAATTAGCTGGGTGTGGTGGCAGGCGCCTGTAATCCCAGCTACTTGGGAGGCTGAGGCAGATAATTGCTTGAACCCAGGAGGCGGAGTTTGCAGTGCACAAGACCGTGCCACTGCACTACAGTCTGGGTGATAGAGTGAGACTCTGTCTAAAAAAAAAAAAAAAAAAAACAACATAGGCTAGGAGTGGTGGCTCACGCCTGTAATCCTAATACTTTGGGAGGCTGAAGTGGGTGAATCACTTGAGGTCGGGAGTTCAAGACCAGCCTGATCAACATGGAGAAACCCCGTCTCTACTGAAAACACAAAATTAGCCTGGCGTGGTGGCGGGCGCCTTTAATCCCAGCTACTCGGGAGGCTGAGGCAGGAGAATCGCTTGAACTCAAGAGGCGGAGGTTGTGGTGAGCCGAAATCATGCCATTGTACTCCAGCCTGAGCAACAAGAGTGAAATTGCGTCTCAAACAACAAAACAAAGAAATAAAAAAAAACTTAACACAAATCGGCAGAAGCCCCAGGCCGTGGCACCTTGGAGCTGGGCAGCCCCGACTCGCTCAGGATGCAGGGGCCTGCCGTGCTGGATGGCCCCAGGAGGCCCAGACTGGCTGTAGCTGCTACCATACCTCAAGAGACACCCGGAGGCAAGTGGGCCAGTGCGCCCGGATGCCAGGATAGGTACCGGGAGCCCCCAGCAGAGGCAGAGCCTGGGACTCACAGCAAAGCAGCCACAGGGCATCACTCCTGCCGTCCACTCCTAGGGCTTTTGCTCCCCTGAGTAACTGGCCAGGCCACACCCAGGCCAGAACCCAGGATGCCCTGGGAGGGATGGAGAGGTCAGGGAGGCAGGAGCAGGGCCCAGCACCTACCACACCGACAAGGTCTCCTCGGCCGTACTCCCCGGCCAGGCGCTTCTTCCCGTCGTCCTTCCGGATCACAGAGCGCAGCCGGCCGCTGAGCATGATGTACGTGCAGTCAGACTTGTCTCCCTGCCTGCAGGAGACACAGAGGCCCTGCAGCCCTGAACCCCCAGCCCCTGCCTGCGGGAGACACAGAGGCCCTGCAGCCCTGGACCCCCAGCCCCTGCCTGCGGGAGACACAGAGGCCCTGCAGCCCTGGACCCCCGGGCTAGCTGCGCGCTGGCGCAGCTCGGCGCAGAATGTGCCATTCCTGAATGGGCTGCTACTGCCTGCAGGAAATTCCTGAGCCCTACAGCCCTGAACCCAGCCGCCTCTGCAGAGGACGCCACAGCCACGGCTGGACTCAGGCTGCTCTCCCAGGAGTGCAGGAGCCCCTGGCTGGACCCCCCATGTGAGGCCACACTCACAGAACACAGGGCCTGCAGCCTGGACCCCGAGCTCTGCCTGCGGGAGACACAGAGGCCCTGCAGCCCTGGACCCCCAGCCTCAGCCCCCAAACCCAGCTTCCCAACAGACACTGCCTGCGGGAGACACAGAGGCCCTGCAGCCCTGGACCCCCGGGCTCTGCCTGCGGGAGACACAGAGGCCCTGCAGCCCTGGACCCCCAGCCTCAGCCCCCAAACCCAGCTTCCCAACAGCAGACAGACTCAGGATGGAGAAACAGAAAACGCAGGCTTCTCACTGTCTTATTTTTGTTTTGGAAAACCTACTTTTTATTTTAAAATATTTATGTTAATAGGCATGGGTTGTTTTAAATGAATAAATATCCTCAAATTTTCTTGGTTTTAACTATTATTATTATTTTTTGAGACGGAGTCTCGCTTTGTTGCCCAGGCTGAAGTGCAATGGCATGATCTTTGTTCACTGAAGCCTCCACCTCCCAGGATCATGCGATTCTCCTGCCTCAGCCTCCCGAGGAGCTGGGATTATAGGCACGTGCCACCACGCCCAGCTAATTTTGTATTTTTAATAGAGACAGGGTTTCACCCATGTTGGCAAGGCTGGTCTCGAACTCCTGACCTTGTGATCCACCTGCCTCGGCCTCCCAAAGTGCTGGATGACAGGTGTGAGCGACCGCACCTGGCCAGTGGGGTGCTTTTAAAGGGATGGTGTGCGCTTGAATATACTGACACAGACATGCTCGTGGAACATTGGCTGTGTCCAAGCGTGTGTGGCTGTCACGAAATCCAGGAGGCCATGAAGCGTGTTGCCGAGCTAAGCTGGGGTGGGGCTGGGGAAATCCAGCCTTCCGTGTGTGGTTTCCATAGTAACTTCCGTGTGTGGTTTCCATGGTTACTGTGCTTTGCCCACCCCCGAATCCTGCATGCCAGGGCAGCGTGGACACCGAGTGTGTGACACCCACAGCCTCACCTGTATATAGCTCGCCCGGCCTCCACCTCCACCCAGTCCAGGGCAAAGTCGATTTGCCGCACGAAGGACGACATCCTCTTCACCACGGTGTGCGCAACGCCCAGGACGACGGTCGGCTGCTTCCGCATGATTCTGCCGGGCAGCCCAGAGTCACTCCCACCCATCCCTCCAGCCCTACCCTTCACCCAGGGCCACAGGGCTCAGGAGTGGATGGGACCCACCACCCCCACCCCACACTGAGGGCAGAGACCACTGGTGGGGGCTGGGATGGGGCATGCCCTGGTCAGCTGCCTGCCCCAGGGCACAGCACTGCCCACCATGTGCCTGGTGGCCAGCAGCTGTTAAGGAGCCCAGAGAGTCCCCTCCTGGCACACCCGTGAGTGCCCCTTGGGGACGGGCCCTGTGTCAGGCTGCGGTCCTGGCAGGGGACTGCACATGCCGTCAGGAGGTGCATAATGAACACTTGGGCCACGACTGTGGCTGGCAGTGAGTGCCATGAAGGGCAAAGGCAGAGGCTGAGAGACCACATGGGGCCTCGAGAGCACAGGGACTCTCCTGGGTGGGTGGAAGGTGCTGGGGCCTCTGACACGGGGAACACTGTCTTCTCCCCAGTGGTCGTGTGTGGACAGACTGTGGAGGGTGACGGCTGCAGCAGGGACGTGCCCAGTGGCTCTGGGCAGTGGCAAGGTGGGACGTGTGGCAACCTGCACCAGGAGTGAGAGTGACGCTGGGTGACTCCAGGCCTAGCCCCAGCCACAGGCAGGTGGAGCTGCCATTTCCTCAGAAGGCAAAAGCAGAAGGAAGAACAAACGCGGAATCAGGACCCACTTTGTACAGGAGGTAGGGGAAGCCCCTTCAATGCCAGGGAGTTGGCAAGACAGCGGCTGGGTGAGGGCTCGAAGGGCATGAGCGTGGCATTTACAGTCCTGGGGGTGGAGGAGGAGCCCCGGGACGCTGGCTGGGGTGATGGCTGCAAGGCACACCACGCACGGACACACATAGACATACACAGGCACACGGAGACACACATGGACACACACAGACACGTAGACACACGCAGACACATGCAGATGCACATAGACACACGGAGACATGCATGGACACACGCAGACACACACAGGCACATGGAGACACACAGACACGCAGACACGTAGACACACAGACACATGCACAGACACATGCAGATACACACAGACACACGTAGACACGCACGGACACATGCAGACACACAGAGACACACGCAGACACACACAGACACACACAGACACATGGGGACACACGTAGACACGCAGACACACAGACACATCCAGACACACGTAGACACGCACGGACACACGCAGACACACACAGACACACGCAGGCACACGGACAAACACAGAAACACACAGACACATGCACAGACACATGGAGACACACATGGACACACGCAGACACACGGACACACACAGACACACGGACACACGGACACACGCAGACACATAGACACATCCAGATACACAGAGACATACACGGACACACACACACACAGACACACAGCACGAGGGACTGAGCTGCATTAAGGGGGTGCCAAGGGCCCTGAGCTCTGCCCTGGGTGGTTCCTGTCCCTGCTCTTTGCCATCTGTCCTGAGCATCTATCTCCCTGGCGCCGCCCACATGGAGCAGCTGGGGACACTCAGGAGGGAGACGGGTCCAGTTCCACCCAGGGTCCCCTGCTGGTGGAGGGACCGGGACTTGGAGCCTCAGTCTCCCCATTCACACGCTGCGGTTTCAGGGCACCCACCATCGGGATCCGGCTGGAGCCACTCAGGCCAGGCCGGGAAGACAGAGGCCATGCAGAAAGCCCTTCCCAACAGTGCCAGGGCCCCGCTGCCCCTACCCCTGCCCCTTGCCCTGCTCAGGGTCCCCAGGCTGAAGCAGAGCTTGGCGCCGTGCTGTTTGCTGGATTACAGGCGTGAGCCGCTGCGCCCAGCCGACCTGTTTTCTTCAGCTGCTGCGATTTCACTGACCTTCAGGCTCCTGACCGCTCCCCCTGCCCAACCACTCAGGCAGAAGAGCTCTGAGACCACAGCAGACATCTGGCCTACGGGGGTGCGGGGGACTTCCAGAAAACACACACAGAACGGCTCAAGCCACCAGAGGTGAGAGCTGGGATTAAACTGAACCCCAGGCTCCAGGAGATTCTGGACCTGACAGAGCAGAATGCCCAGCACCGTGGATGGGAAGACGTGGCGGCTCTGCCAGGCAGCCCACAGGTGGGCTGAGGGCAGCTCTGAGCCTGGAGGGGCCGAATCTGAGACTCATGGGCTGAGCTCAAGTGGACAGATGTCTCCAGCCCAGAGCCTGGAAGGCAGCACAGGCACATTCTGCCCCAAGAAGGGACACACGTCAGTGGGGCTCCTGCCCCTGAGCCAGAGCCGCGTCCTCACCCACTGCCTTGCCCTTCCACCTCCACATCACCAGCTCCCGACACAACAGCCCAGGCTGCAGGGGTGGGGAGGCTCACGGCCCCTGATGCCCGGCCCCGCCCCAACGCGGGTCCTGCTGAGCCAAGCCGGGCAGCCCCAGAACTGACTGGTGATACATGAACACGGCTGGGAGCGGACCAGAGATGGCCGTGTGAGGCAGATCGCTGTGGGCAGATGGGGACGGCTGACTGAGCGCTGGAGCAGGGGGCACCGACCTGGGCCTATGCAGGTGCCAGGCACAAAGAGGGGGGCATGAGCAGCAGGGAAGAGGGTGAGAGCACCAGGAAGAGGCCGGCCACGCGGGGAGGGGTCTCAGGGCAGGTGGGTCTGGGGCCCGCCCCGAGGTCCTGGCCCGTAGCACTCACTCATAGAAGTGGGCTTTGGAGATGGACAGGAAGCTGCAGTCCCTGTTGGCCTTGATGGTGAAGATGAGCGGCTCCCCGGTGAGCACTGCCAGCTGGCCCACCATCTCCCCGGGGCGCGTGAGGAACAGGCAGGTGTCCTCCTGGCTGCCGATCTTCCTCTGGTACACGTGCAGCAGCCCGGACACCACAAACAGGATGCTGGCGTCCTGACAACACCAGAGGGCTCAGGAGGCGCCGTGAACGGCCGCGGGCGGGATGGGGGCAGCTCTGGGCCCAGAGTGGACAACGCCACCAGGCTCAGCCGGAAGACCATCCGCTGACCTGACCAGCTCTGGGCACAGACTTCACTGGAAACATTTCAGCAGTGTCTACGGTTTTGTGATTTCACGAGCAGTCATGGGAAATCTGGGTTCTCGAGGGCTCCGTGCAGCAAGCCAGGCCTCGGATCTGCACACCTTCTCTCCCGGCACCCGCACGCATACTGACTGTCCCCAGCAAATACGCGTCAGCCCAGCGTTCCTGTGCGTGGCGGGTCCCACACCGCCTCGCCTGGGGCCTGGCCTCTCCCACACTGAGCCCCTGCACACACCACACGTTTGGGTCCCATGTCTGCAGATGTGTCCCTGAAGCCACTCTGAGGCCATTTCCACTGATCTGTATCCACTGTGACCTCTTATGGCCTCTTCCCAATCTGCCTGCCCAGCCCACTCTTAGGTGCGAGCGGAAGGGCCAGTGCGGCAGGAGCCAAAAGTGGACATAGCTCTCGGGGCTCAGGGCTGCCTGAGGGGAGGGGCTCTGCCATGGTGCCCAGAGGGGCAGTGGCCTGGTGCTGGGACGTCCCCAGTCACTGGTGCCCAGCCCAGGCCCTCCTCTGGTGTTCCACCTGGCACTGGGCTGCGGCATTGGGTGGTCCCAGTGCCCCCCCGGACCCCCACTCACCTGGTCTCCCTGCCTTGACACCACCGTGCCTGCAGGAACGTGGAGAAGCACCACCCGGCCATCCAACAGAGATGAGTCCTGAAAACAGAGCAGGCTTCAGGGAACACGGGCGGGAAGCATAAATGAAGGTCCAGAGAACAGAGGCTGTGCTGGGCCCTTCAGGGGCAACAAGCGGTGAGGCCAGAGGCCGGGCAAGTCCCTCCTCCGAGGCCGTCCTCCAACAGCGGCCTGACGGACACGGGGCACCCTGCAGAGCCACCGATGCCAAACCAGGGCATCGACCCAGAGACAGACACCAAACAGTGCAGCAAGGCAGGAAATGCAGAAACAGACACTCATATTTTTGTGAATTTACGTAAAAGAGGATGTCATTTCAGGAAGAAAGAGTGATTTCTTTATAAGTGGTGCTGGCATAGCCAGCAGTGGGACGCCTTCTCCACACCACCTACAGAACGACGCCCTCCAGGGCACGAGGAGTCTGGAATCTGGGAGCTCCCAGAGGTGAGCCAGGAGTGCCCAATGCACTTGAACCCAGGAGGTGGAGGTTGCAGTGGACCCGGAGCCCGTGGAGAGGCCCTGGGGCAAACCAAGGGTGAGGGAGCATCTGCGGGTACCATAGCCACAAAGGTTCGACACATCAGGTGTATAAACCCCTAGTCCACAGTGATAATGAAATAAGAAACCCCACCCATCACCTCAGAAGATGATGGAAAACCAAATCATTAATTTAAACCAAGTCGTTCATTCAAACCAAATCGTTAAACTTCCCAAACCCTGATGGTGAAGGGAATGAAGCCAGTTTCCCCCAAAAAAGAAAGGATATCTCACATCTCCACAAGTGTGTCAAACAGGACGGAGAAAGAGGTGGAGGGGATGAGAAGAATCTGAGCAGCCACGTATCCAGCTCTCAGGCAGACGATGGCCACTGACAGGCCGCACCGCCCCAGGGCGCATTGTCAGCCCGAGCAGCCGGGAGGCTTGCAGGAGAAGAAAGCGGCCTCCGTGATGCAAGCAGCTGCGCGAAGAAAAGTCAGAGCCTTCGGGAGACGAGGGGGATGTGGGAGATGAGGGGGACGTGGGAGACGAGGGGGAAGCAGGGGATGAGGGGGAAGCAGGGGATAAGGGGGACGAGGAGGACGTGGGAGACGAGGGGGATGCAGGGAACGAGGGGGATGCGGGGGACGAGAGGGATGCGGGGGACAGAGGGGACGTGGGGGCCACGGGAGCCAGCCATGGTGTGGACCACACAGTGGACTGTGACATGGACGAGGCCACTGGACAGGGGGACACTGACTGCACGGCTGAAGCCATTTGGCCGTTTTAAGGATTGCTGTTAAGTATTCAGAAATGATAAGAGTATGTGGTTAGAGATGAATCCTGAAACATCCACCAGTGACGTGCTATGATGATGGGATTTGCTTCGAGGGTGGGCGCCTGGACGGTATGGAAGGGTGCAGAGAAAACAAGGCGGGCTGTGCCACGACCGCTGCCGTGAGGGCTGCCAGGTACTCACCTCCACGTATTATTCCATCTATTCTATACAGCTTTGAGTTTTCCCACAACAAAAAGCTGTTTAAAGAGAGAGAAGACTGGCTGGGCACACTGGCTCATGCCTGTAATCCCAGAATTTTTGGAGGCCGAGGCAGGTGGATCACTTGAGGTCAGGAGTTTGAGACCAGCCTGGGCAACATGGCAAAACCCCGTCTCTACTAAAAATACAAAACTTAGCCAGCTGTGGTGGCGAGCCAGTGGTCCCAGCTACTCGGGAGGCTGAGGTGGGAGGATCACTTGAGCCCAGGAAGTGGAGGTTGCAGTGAGCTGAGATGGCACCACTGTACTCCAGGCTGGAAGACAGAGCGAGACACTCTCCAAAAAAAAAAAAAAAAAAAAAAGGAGAGAGAGAGAGATTTTCTTTTTTCCCTTCAGGACAGAGTTTCGCTCTTGTTGCCCAGGCTAGAGTGTGGTGGCATGATCTCAGATCACCGCAACCTCCGCCTCCCAGGTTCAAGCAGTTCTCCCACCTCAGCCTCCCGAGTAGCTGGGATTACAGGCGCCCACCACCACACCCGGTTAATTTTTGTATTTTTAGTAGAAACAGAGGTTCACCATGTTGGTCAGACTGGTCTCGAACTCCTGGCCTCAGGTGATCCACCTGCCTCGGCCTCTCAAAGTGCTAGGATTACACGTGTGAGCCACCGCGCCCGGCCAGAAAAGGAGATTTAAGAGATAGGTCAGCCAACTGCAGTTTTTTTTTTTTTTTTTTTTTTTTTTTTTTTTTT